TACTTCATAGTCAGTTTTTCTTCCTTTGGGAACTTTCTTGCCATTGGTATCAAAGGTATTACTTGACTTTTCTTGGTTACTAGAAGTCCAGTTTTTGAGTGAAAAGGTTTGTAAACAAGAGGGAAAGTATAGAAGTGACTTTTGGAGTCATACTTCAAGTTGTTTTAATGATAGTGTTAAGACTTTATTAGCAAAAAAGTAAAAAAACTTTTTGCGCACATCTTTTTTGTGTGTGGTCAAAGGATCAGCGGAAAGAGTTTTCATGATTTTTTTTTAATTAGTTATTGATTAGTATAAAAAACTCCCAATATTATTTGATATTAGATATCTTTAACAAGTTTTGATTTATTGAATTTCTTTAGTAGATAATAACAAATTAATCTATAGATACATTAATATATTCTAGATAAAATCTAATTTTATTATTTGAAAAAATCAACAATACATAATTGAGTATAGTCAATTAAGTTTCTATTATATTTTTAGAAGAGATTATCTATATTAGATAATTATATATTTTTCATATTCTGATTATATTAAACTTAGATTGGGTCATGTAAATAGATAGCTTTCTATATTATTATTTTTCTAAATAATCTATAAATCCTTAGATAGTATAAAAAAATATTCATTCTGATTGTTTCTAAATATAATTTTTTTTTTAATAAAATATTGATAAAGATATAGAATAAGTTAGTTTTTTTAAAAATAAATAAATAAATAAATAATATTTTTTTATAATTATTCTTAAATATTTAAATATTTTAATTTTTATTATTATAATTATTTTATAATGAAAAAATTGAGTTTTTATATAGTTTAATTATTTTTCAAAAAATTATTTAAAAAAAAAAAAAATTAATAAAAAGTTTTTTTTTTTTAATACAGTATCTTAATATTCATATTTTATTAAGTTAAACTTTATAATATATAAGAAAATCTTTATTTTAATAAAACAAAATCAGATTAATAAAAAAATTAAATTAATCATATCAGTGTTAAAAAATTAAATGATAATAAATTTTATAATTTTAATATATAAAGGTTTTAAATTATTATTATTATTATTTTCTTTATTTATTTAATAATTCATTATTTTTTGAAATAATTTATAATAATAATGATTCTAATAAATAGAAATCCAATATCAATTTATTAGAGAAATAAAACATTGTTTCCTAATTCTGATTTAGAGTACCTTAATTTAGACTAGTTTAGTGAACTTCTCATGTTTTTTAAGTAATGTAATTCTTTAACTAATAATGTACAACAATGAATTAACTGTTGTTATAGAAAAGTTTACAGACATGACATCTTTAAATCTCAATAAAGACACAAGATGGTATAATTGCGAACAAAAAAAATTAATAAAGTAAAAACTTTTAAAATAATTCTATTATTGTTTTTTTTTTTTTTTAATACCCGTGGTCAGGCAAAATAACTGTAATTAATAATAAATTTTAAGTTATTTATTTTTAAAAATTATTAATATAAATATTAGAAAAAAAAAAAAGAAGTTTTTTTTTAATTACTAAGCAAACTGGTGAAAAAAAACTCAGATATTTAGTAATGATTTCTAGTGTACTGTCATTTGAGGCCAATGTCCGTCAAAGTGTCGTCAAATTAATGCACTGTAAATTTATTAAGATCACGGATCGTCGGTGTTATTATTATTCTCGTTGTCACTACTGTCATCACTGTACTGTAATAACGATGCTAGTGTATTATTATTATTAGAAGTTGTGATTTTTGATGACTCCTTAGAATTATTACTCGATACCACTGATGTTGATTTTTCATTAATGATCGAAGATGTGGTGGAAATAGTGGTTGCCCCTTTTATTGCCGTAGGTGTTGGTGACTGATCTAACTTCAGTCTCTTATTTTTTCTAGACAGTTCATCGGCGTTCACGCCTTCCCCTTCATTTGAAGACTTTTTACGTGCTATATTTTTCTTAATTGCACCATCCAAAATCATACGCTGTGCATCTCTTTTTATGGCGCTCTTAACCGGCGCTGGCGGTGGCGGCTGGGGAATTACAAGTTTGGGTATCGCTTCCTCGTTAGCTTTAGCCGCCGCCCTGGATAATCAAATTTTAAATAGAATTACTTCAAAGATAGAATTCCAAATTTCATCATCCCAATAAAGACCAATCATGAAGAATCCCTTTAAACGAGTAACTGACCTCCTGAATTCTTCGAGTTCTTCTTCAACTTTCTTCATCTTTTCCAATTCTTTATCACGTTCTTCATTTTCCAATGTAGCCAAGAAGTCTATTTCATCCTCGTCAAGTCTATGAATCAAATTGCCTGGAAATTGTATTACATTTCAACTTACTTTAACGACATAAAAGTAAATCCATGATTTACTTTGTATATTATTTGAATTACATGATAAATAAAATGGCCCCTCTAATCATATCATATGAAAGCACTTACTAAATCTCGTCATTTCCTGAAATAATTCCTCTTTCTTCGTCTTTTGTTCTTGCAAACGTTCGTACAGAGTACGGGGATCATATATCTCCTCCTCCTTTGCAGGTGGTTCTACCCAAGGTCGCTTTCAAATGAGAAAATATATACATATAGTGTAGAATACAGTGAAACCGAAAGAATTATGGCACATACTTTGACCGATTCTTTCGTACGCCGCCTTCCATTCTTCTGCCCTTCTACGTTTAGATTCTTCTATCTCTGTTGAGGACACAAATCTGTCCATACCCAAAATTACAACTACGTATTAAATCGCGAAATGATTTTTTCCTTCATCAACCGCTTCTGTCACATGACAAATAGCAAATATCGAAAGTGATCTGCGATCCCATAATTTAGAAAATTTAAAAATAAAAAGGGTATATATATTACGTAATTCACTTACTGTCGTTGTCTCTTCGGAGCAACACTTATTAAAATTGGAACGATACAGAGAAGATTAGCATGGCCCCTGCACAAGGATGACACGTTCAATCTTGAGTGGATAGCACCTTCGGGTGCATAATTTTTTTTTCTTAATCTCGAATGTTTTTTTTTTTTTTTCTTGATCTTGAGTGGATAGCACCTTCATGGGGGGGGGGGGGTTTTTTTTTGGAAAATTCTCCAACATTGTTCTGTCAATTCAATTCCGTATTACGTTATTGATTATTGATCTACACGTGCAATGGTCCGAATTAGTCCACAATGGTACATCACGGCTGACGTAACATTGTATTTTGATTGCGCATTAAGAAACAAGGGTTAATGCGGATTATCAAAAATAGCACTCTCTAATTAATTTACGTAAACCAGTACGAAACGATAGTAAGACCGATGTCGCTTTCCTTTCCTCTACATTAATCGAACTTGATTCAGCACATTAATTGTGAAATTTGCTTTTTGCAGACAGTACTGAATAAGACATTCGTTTTTGTTATTATGGGTTCTAATTTCTCACCTTCCTCCAACAAAAAAACAAAACAAACTACCCTAGAAGAGCTGTTTTTCTCAAGAATCCCCTTCTCAAAGAAACCCATAAACACTATTAAAGATACCCCCGTTAGCCTCCTCAAATCGAAGTCACAAAGTCGAAGTTCACCTCTTTGCCAGGGCATCTCCTTGTCCACCGGTTTACCCTGCAGACGTCCAGTAGTAGATGATAATTATTGCTTCCAGCATAAGACACAAGTCAAAGGTGAAAGCATTTTTGGAATACCGACCACCCCCAGAAAAAATGTGGCGCCGTATGACTGTGGGAAAGTAAAGGGAGGTGGAGTCCACGAAACATTAAACAAAGACGAAGTTACGAGAAATGAAGAAAGTCTTGCAAAGAACTTCAACACCGTGTCGCTAAAGAATTCCAACGATCCGAAGCAAAAGGTTAGAAAGGTCCGAAGTAAGGATAAAATGCCAAAAAAATCGGACTTTGAATCCAAGAAAGATTCGCCAAGCACTACGGTGATTATGATTCGCTTAGAAAACAATGTTGAAGTTCAGATCACTCAATCAAACGGAACAACGGAAGTCACCCAAACCGTCGAGACACCAGCGTCATACACAAAATCGGGTCAACGGTCGCCCACGCCAGTGATTCGTTCGGAAACCCCTCCACCTCTTCGTTTGCCTCTGGAAAGTCCCAACTATCCAGATGATAGCTTCCTAGAGACGAAAAATAAGGAATTCTTTCAAACTCCCACCTTCGTGAGCCCATCTGAATGTTTAGATTTGGTTCCCATACTATCTTCGTCGCCGACTCAATCGATAAGAGGATACAAGGTTGCATCCGCTATGACCGACAATTTCACACCCCTTTTTTCTTCGCCCGTATCACCGTCGCGAGAAGAACCATTCACCGAAAATGATAACGAGGATTCTCCGCCATCATCGCCGACTCCGATAAGGAATCAAAGATTATTGTACGAGTCACGGTTTTCGCCTTCAGAAAAGTGTGTAGATGACGACAGAACTCCTACGGCTCCGAAGAAAACATTCCGCAGCGTTTCCAGATCCGGGTCAGCAACAACGACGCCCACGCTCTCTGACAACAAAATTCACGTCGATCTCACCGCAAATCCGATTTCCCCGTTAAAGCCCCTAACACAAATTTTTTGTCAGGGGAAAAGTTATAAGACCAACAAGCAATGCGTTCGTAAGGTTAAACGCAATGAGAAATATTGCCAGCAGCATAAACAAACTATGATGGAACAAGCGGAGATCGAAAGAGCACTCTTCGTTCCCGGTAGATCGAAAATGACATGGGTTAAATTTAAAGGTATTAATACTCTTTGTCATTGTCATCCATATTCACGTACGCTTTTTCAATACCATTACACGAGAAAACTTGAAAAATAAATTATCATTGCTTTAATTGGACAGACTGGTTAAACGATGGTCTATCTGAAGAAACCAAGCGTTTGTTAATATCTGAAATGGAAAAGCCGATATCCGACAGGGATAGAGCTGGTTTTATATACGCATATAGATTGGTTGAGGGTAAATCGCGTGCATGTTTTTCGTTCATCGTGCTATGTAAACATCGATCATCTGATTCATATAATACATACAATGCATGGCATGTCATTAGGTCCTTCCTCACATCATGATTCCAATTGCACATTATATAAAATCGGTAGGACCACCAATGTTCATCGGCGATTATACCAGTGGTCCCAACATTGCGGCTATACACCTCAATTGATCGAACTTTTTCCAGACGTGAATTTATCAAGTTCGTTTTCATCTCAGGAATCAATGTTGGACACGATCTTTGACGATGACGAAGGTTCATCGAATGGTGAATGCTCATCTCAATTGGCCAAGGTAACCAAATGCAAATATGCACATCGAGTAGAACGATTAATTCACATTGAACTAAGCGAGAAGTATAGTGTGGACATGGAGACGTGTTTGGGATGTGGTAATATGCACAGGGAATGGTTCAAGGTGATTGCACCGGTCAGAGGTAGCTCCACCAAGGTTGAAGATGATGGGCTTCACGGATGGAACGAGATAAGAAAGGTTATTGTTCACTGGATAACTTATGTCGAAAAAAATTATGGCGTGGGTTAACTTGGAATCCGTTTTTTGTGTTCGTTCTCATTGAAAAGATGTATTGGTCCCGGTAGAATATCGGGTCGGAAAAAATATATTATTATTATTATTATTATTATTATTATTATTAGTCATTGTCAAATTTATGCCTGAATAAACAAAATGATTTTGAGGAACTATTTCATCTGCGCCTCGTGTCAATTCACATGGTTGATTGATTTTTTTTCATCGTGTGCGTCGTCTCGCCTCATCATTATGAATCTCTCGTGATTCCGATCGCGACGAAATTGCGCCCATCACATGGGCGAACATAAACCTGATGCTTCTGAAAGGAAAGGTAATTTAATCCTGTCTCATTTCGAGTAAAAAAATATTTGGCGGATCGATGATCAATCGGCAAGCGCATAATTCGTCCTGATGTTTTTGCATTCAGATTACCTAATGGATCTAGATGGCATGGAAGTTAACTCAAAGGCTAATCCGTCCGCTCTCTATGAAAGTCGAATGAGAATTGATCGCAATGAGAGTGTAAAAGTTTAACCGCCCGATGATCTACGATCGATTAGCCACATCCACAGCCCACTCACTTCACAGTGAAAATTCCCCGATAGAGGCATGCCAATTAAAATCGAACGTCGATACGTAAAGCCAATGTACTCGTTTTTTTTTTTTGGTTTGTTTTTTTTTTTTTTTTTTTTTCGGCGGAAAATTACCCTTCCTGGAAAGATTTTCCCTTTTCACAAAAGTCGAATTAATTAAAAGAAATATCGCGTGGCGTCTACCTTTGCGTTATTATTCTCGGCTTCCTTTTTCATAGAAACCATGTCCCTCAATTACAGTATCTCGTCATCTTCCCACACAGCCAGTTCGGAAGGCTCCGCCACAAATAAACACCCCGAAGTTCCGTCACCCCATATCGCAAGTCGCACCAACTCACTTGGCTTGGCTCAAGCCACCTCCGCAGCATTAGCAGTGGCTTTGATGCGGACAAGTTTGGAAATATCATTGAATGTTAAAAATGTAGAGGGCATAGATTAATTACTGGTTTAGTAAAAATCATTAATGGGCTTTGATTAAACTCCGAGAATCAACAAGTATAAATCCAGCGACGGAAATTAGTTATGATATACAATAAGCGTACATTGAACGTCGCCCGCGTGCATGCAAATCGACGCTGTGCATGATGCTTTTTTTTTTTTAACGAAACAAAAATGCAACATCATAGCAAATAAGGTGCGCATGATACTTCAGGTGCCGTTGTCGAAAATTTGTTTGGGCTAAGATCATCCGAAATTGCGCCGCGAAATTGTGGGAATTCGCAATGATTTCATTGACAAATATGTACGCGCATACTGAAATTCCTTTATTGTAGGTCATCCGTTTTATTATGACGATGTATTATTAAAAGTGATGAATAAGCAATTCAAAGGTATTTTTTTATTATTGACCCCGCAGATTTGACAAGATACATTTTTTACCAGTCGGAACTTGTTTCATAATTGATGAAATAATAAAATGGCCATTTCGATGTAATCAAATGTTTGTTTGTTTCTTTGAAATCGATCCTCGAATAACAAGAATACATCCTCATTTTGTTCATAGTAGGAAGCATTATGAGATACTTGATTCTTGATTACCACTCGATCTTCGATTATGTCGTTCGCTCCATAATGAAGATGACATCTTTCCATTGTTAGCAATAATCACCCAAAAATCCGATCTTGGAAAGTTAAGCCTAGCACGTCTCAAGAAAGCAATTATATCGTTATATCATTTATATCATTAGGCTATTTTTCGACATCATTATAATCAATAAAAGCGCTACGACTCACGTGACACTAACTCGCGGCTGACGATTGCATAAAATTGGATATAAATGGAAATAGATGTTAAGTTTTATTTAATCAATCGGCGCTTATCCGACAAGCTCCCACCAAACTATTGATGTGTGCATCACTTGTTATTACGCATAGTTTAAAAGTAACACACTGCATACACCGTATACACTATACACAGGGCAATTGTTTTTGAGGGTGGATTGAAGAGTCATCGGACCCCAGAATTGTGGATCCAAAATTTAGCCAAAACGGGGACCAAAGATGGATTAGTCGGGAGTGTGCCGAAAATAGATCCATACTGAAAGATTAGTAGTTAAGAAAAAGTGGCGAAATTCAATAGAAAATTCCTTATATAAAGTTACAGTAATTTCTATAATAATAATGTTTTACTATTCTATTAAAAAATTTAATATGCTATTATTGAATGTTTGCTAATTATTTATAATTATACGATATACAGTATATAATTATACAGTATTTAAATTATATTACTTTGAAATTAGTTTGAACATGAATTTTTTTTTTTTATTATTTAAATTGTAGTTAAATCAAAAATCGATTATATTAATAAAAATTTACACTCTTCTTTATTAAAAAATATTTTTGGAATTTAGTTATTCTTTGTTTATTTACAATATAGATAATCTAATATTATAAATTTATTTATTTATTTATTAAATTTTTATTAATTTTAATATTAATCTATATACTGTAATTAAATTAAATTAAAACTAAATTAAAATTAAAATAATACGAATTAATTAAAACTAAATGAAAATTAAAATAATACAAATTAATTAAAATTTTAATTAAAATTAAAATAAAATTAATTATAATTAAAATTTTAATTAAAATTATAATAAAAAAAATTAATATAAGTTAAAATTAATATAAAATGATTAAAATGAAAATAAATTAATTTAAATTAAATAAAATTTTAATAAAAATTTTATATTGTTCAATATAAACTAGTTTAAAATTTTTTTTTAATTTTTTATTAAAATAGATATAGTATATTGTTACTTTTAAATGTTTAAGCTTACTTAATATTTTTTTATTATAAATTTTAACTTTGACAATTTGTAAATCTTTAATTTTTTTTTTTTTTACTAATATATAATTATATAACAATAGCTTATTTTTTGCTAGTCAAAATTATGTTATTCAATAATTGAATTATAGTTGAATTTGATTAAATTTAATAATAAAATTAATAAATCATTTTTAATTGCTACTATATAATATAAAAAATTTCAATAAAAAATTAATAAATAAATTTTTATATACTACAAAAAAATACAAAATTTAACAAAAATTTATAATATTGCAAAAAAATTTTGATATATTATACAAAAAATTTATTTATTATACAATAAAAAATTTATTTTTTTTTTATTTTTTTATTTTTTTTTAATTTACAATAATACTATAATAGTTTGTTTTATTAAGAAATTAAAACAAAATCTACAATAGTTTATAAACTTTTATAACATGTCTAACTTACCTTTATATATAGTACTCTAAGTTAAATATTGAGAACAATATTATATTTTTTTAATAAATTGATTATAATCTTTATTTATCAAGATTATTGTTAACTATTTGTCACTTTTGATTGATTCAAAAATCAATAAATTGTTAAGTTAAAAAAAGTAAAAAGTAATTGAAAAAAGAAACAATTCAAGCATATCAAAAAATTTTAAAAATAAAAAAAATTTTTTTTTAAAAGAAATTTGTCTAATTAGAATAATCTTCTTGCTTTACTTAATCTTCAAAAAAAAAAAATTTTTTTTATATTACCTATAGTATTAAACAAGTTAATTCAACCGATTTTTCATTTAAGTGAGTACTAACTTGAAATATCTTAATAATGTTAGAAAGTCATTTCATTATTATGTATTTTAATTAAAGAAAAAAGACAACATTTAAATATATATTTTCCAATATTTTTTTTTTTTTTTTTTTAACTCGCAATCAGATTAGCATGATATGTCTTTATTGTATATATGCTAAGTATTTACAAATTATTGTAACTTTCACATACTGACTCACTCATTGTCAAAAAACTATTTCTCTAAATGCAACCTAGGAAATAATATTTTGCTCTTTTACTAATTAGGATAATTTCTCTAATTAATAAAATCATTGTCTATAGGTCATTACTATAGATCATTCTAAGTTCTGTCTGCAATTAAAAACTAAACCACTTTATTCTGTAACAAATCTAATTCTTAATAATCACCATATATTTCTTTTCTTCTATTTCTTTGATGTCTTTCAAGTTTGAATCCTCTGGAAGTAATGGCAATTCTTTTTGATCCTATTCGGTCTGTTCATCAGATCTGAGCTTGGATCTCTTGTTTCTTTTGTCCTTTTCTATAATATTTTGCTTCTTTTCCCATTCTATAACTTTGACATAACAAATATTCGAGATTTTTTTTTTAAAATTTGTTCTCATCTTTTAACAGAGTTTACCAATTATAACCTGTGTATTTGTTGGTGGGATCTTGAGCTGCTCTTTGAGACACTTCTTCAAGGAGATGGTCTTGCTTTCTTCCATATATCTACAGATAATATTGAAAAGGCCTCTATCAGATTCCTAAATCTCTTCTAACTATTTGTCTATCCAGTCACTTATTTTAGGTTGAACTTCTTTCTTATGTTTAATTTCTTTACCGATGAGTTTATTAATCTTTTCGTTTGCCTTCTGCTATAAGTTCTTTTGAGTTTTTCTAATGGCTGGGCATTCAAAAAAATGACCTAGTGTCTCTTCTTGAAGTTCATATATTGGACAAGTGGTTGTGATATACACATTTGATTTTCTCTTCTTAAGTATCTGTAGGATTGAAAGTTCATTGTAAGTTAAGTTAGTTAGAAAGCTTTTGTCTTTATTGATTTTAAAAGAGATATCGAAAGTATTGGTTAGATTGAACTGGTTCCAAAAGGTTGGTTGGTCTATAATTTTATTATTTTGGATTCAAAAATCCTGAATCTATTTTTGTGTTGTCCAGTCTAATTCAATTTTTTTCTTATTAAACATTTTAATAAAATCTTTGATACCAATTTCTATTGTGTATTCTTCCCATGCTACAATTATGAGGACTCTTTCTAGCTCTAATAGCTGATGCCAAGTTATTGAATTCTCCTGTCTGGCCTATTGGCAAGTAAGTCTACTTGATTGTTGAATCTGTTGGTTCTGTAGGTTTTGACCTTTAAGATTTCCAGATTCAGGTCTTTCTTCTGTACTAGATCCTTGATCTTATTCCAAAGTGGTCAATTAGTAATTTTTGTCCATCTTCTTATAGATGTCTCTATTTGTAAGCAGATGAATTTCATACTTTGACTGCAGTGTTGCTGTCAGTATAAATTGTAACTGTTGTATTTTGGGAAGCTGTATACAGTATAGTTAAAATAACTAGAATTTCAACCCTGATTGCTGATGGCTATATAAATACTTCTACTGAAAACTGTTTAATTATTTTGTCTTCCTCTATTATAAAAGCTAAATTCATTTTGAATTCACCATTTGGCATCCCTTTTTTATAAGAGCTGTCTGTATAGAATGTAAGCTGATCAGCTATATTCCTTTTGTTATATTCCAAGATACTCTAAGTTCATCTTTGTATTCTTATGTTTGTATAGCTTTTTCTATTAATGTGATATTCCAGTATTCTACTTGATTCTCTACTTTGACTAGTTTGGCAGTTGATAGAGTCACTGTTTACTGAAATGCATTTGTCTACCAGTCTGTAGGGTTTCCTAGCAGAAGGTTCTGTTTTCTTTTTCTTAGATTATTATATTGATTAAACTGTGTGAGAAAGTGGATCTGTGACTGGACTACTTCTAATGGTAGCTCTGTATTGTCTGGTTGAAGATGAATATTATTACTAGTAGAATTATATACTTACTGATATGAGGTTAAATAGGTTTTATTGTTTATGGATATTATCTTTCCCTATGTATCTATTGAAGTATTAGCCTGAACTGCCCAGTAAATCTTTCTTCTATCTGAATTTATTGGGAATATCTCAGTTTGCATATTGTAAACTGTTCATTCAAGCTTATGTAGAGAGTTTTATAGGAGATCTTGATTTACTATTGTTTTTTTCTTCACTTTTTTGTATCAGGAGGGAACCAGTTCTTGGATCTGCTATAGAGGATTTGAACTGCTCTCTATTTCTTAAGTGTTATTGTAGTAAT